TGGTGAACTTTACCAGAAATTGCCGTTGGGAGCCCTAATCTTGGGAAACTTCCACGGAAAGGTTCCGCCTTTCTTACAGCAGAAGGATCATCAAGATCAAGCTTGGCTATAAGTTCACCCGCCTGTCACAAAAAATAATGTATGAGTTAATAAATCTCCACAAATTCGTATGAAACCCAACTTTGTTTTACCTGTATGGCTTGTCCTTCAGACATTTTGAAATTTATGACTCCTGAGGCAGGTGAAAGAAGCGGCATGCACATCTTCATGACCTCAACTTCCACATAAGGTGTATCAGCATCAATACTGCTATTATCTGAAACCAGATACCTCAGCAGCTTGCACGGTGTCTCGGCCATCAACTTGGAAGGGTCGTGATCATTCTGAATAAGCCAAAAATGACTTAATACTAAAATGAATTCCGAAATATGGTAAAATCATTTTTTTAAAAAGTCAGTTGGAACCTGTAGTAAACAAGTTCTTCCGTCAATGAGAAGACGTGTTCCTGCCGCTTCTTGCTCTGCATATATCACATGGCTTTTACCATCCAACTGCAATGACAGAAAACCATCCAAGGAGGTGAGATTATCAATGTAAGTTTCTATTTTTGATGTATTAAACAAAAGGCAGAAAACTTGCCTGCATCAACAGACCTCCATCACGTAGAGTGTGTATTTCTGCAACAACTTCTGAGTTGTTCATTCTTAGCCTATAGTTTCCTGGTCCACTCCGGACCACATCAATCTGGAAACACCTACGTTCAGTTTAGTGAGCCTCTGTAACTATATATTCGCTGCAAAAAATAATAATATGGCAAAGGAAAAAGAAGAAATGCAGATACGCATACCGTATATTTACATCCTTCAATGTTCAGAGACACTTGAGAATGCACTAAAGATATATGCTGCAGTTTAAGAGAAAGAAACTAAGCTACAAGATCATTACGAGAGAGAGAGAGAGAGAGAGAGAAAAGAGAGCTGAGATTCAACTACCTTTGGGGGAATTTGCCCCTTCTCAAGATAACTGATGTAATCCGAGACCACAGCAGCACTGGTCGCTGATGCTCTCTGGACAAATAAAACATCTGCTCATCAGATATATAAATTTTTTCAAAGACACATCATAGATCTGTAAGAAAAAAGGCTCTTACATAGAGAGCCCCGCTCACAACCGAGAGATACCATGGAGGCCTCTCTGCTCTGACCTGCATAGCAATTCGACTATCCAACCACCCAGTGTGAATTTTGTTTTCCTGGTAATCAGGTACCTGATCCACAATTGGAATGATCTTGTCAGGGTACATAGCAAAAACAAAGTGTAACTTTTATGTGTTGGAAGAAGAAAAGTTACATGTAGAAGGTCAACTGTGTAGTCAACATTAGTTCTAATCTCTCCACGAATTTGGATTTCTTTCAGCCCAAGAACCATATTTGCTATTGCCAGGGATCTGGTTTCCCCAAATGCAAAAACATGTCCTGAATAGAATATAAAAGGAAGTTTCAATTTGTAAAAACTTAAGAAAAAAACATAACTAGCAGTCGAAATATTTCATTTCACTTACCAAACTGGGAATCTGAGAACTCGTGGATGCCTCCACCAGACTGTACACAACAAAAACAAAAAGTCAAAAAAATTATAGCCAAATGCACATAGTACATCAGAGCTTCTGTCGATAAAGTCTACCTTGACAGAGAAGTAACCCCACACATTTGGCTTGCTCTTAAAACTCAACTCCTGTTACAAAGTTCATACAAGTGTTACTTACCCCCACACCGTTCTCAGTGCATATGACTATTAACTTTGCATTGCACAGCTACAATATTACCTGTATTTTACCGCCTGTGGGTTTGAACCCGTCATCAGAATCCTCACTTGTCAGGCGTACAGCCACACAATGACCTTTTGGCGGTATAGATTCAGCTTTATCGAAATCAAAAGGAGAGGCTGCAGCAACTGTTTTTCTCCAGGAATCATAACCTCCACCATCTTCTATACCATAGAACCGTCTTATCTCTAACAAATCAAAGTGAAACAGACGATACATTACACATACAAATCGACTAGAAAAAGGAAAAAAAAAAGGATGAAGGCCATACCGGGAATTTGCCAAAGAGGAATTCCCATCCCCACAGCAACTTGAGCAGCAGGAAGATTTATTCCGGCGATCCACTCAGTTACAGGATGCTCAACCTGACCTCAAACATCAAGTCAACTTTCAAGACCGAAACATTCAATAGAGTTCAAAACAAAATGTAACATTTAAAAACAGCATGGGACCAACCTGTAAGCGAGGGTTAAGCTCTAAGAAGTAGTACTCCCCAGTGTCCATGCTGTAGAGATACTCAACAGTAGCAGCTCCAACATAGTTAACACTCTTCGCCAACCTTCTAGCTGCCTGCTCAAGTTTCTTCACGGTTTCTCGCGGAGCCACAGTGATTGGACCCTCCTCTATGATCTGTGATACAAAACCATAGTGTAAGAACACATGCAATCATTCGCGTTTATCAATGGGGAGTACTCAGTTGGAGGGTAAAATTAGTATATAAAGAGGAAAAGATGAATCTCTCAGGAGCAGTGTTTGATAGACACTAAAGTAGTATAAACAAGAGGGGAGATAAGAAAAAGGGTCTTTGACCATTGGTTAGTGTGGGAAGCCTTTAGCTTAGTGTGAGAGAAAGGACTCTATAGCAAACCTTAATCGTTCTTGTTCTTGATTGTGGAGTAATAAAAGAGAGATGGGATATGTGATCTTTGTTACATTAAACCACTAATAAACCTTTTGGTGTCTTCTCTGGACGCTGCAATCACGGCTATGCAAAGCTGAAACGTTTCCATATTGGTCACATAGAAGCTGCACCTCTAAATGCCGACTCTACACAAATATAAATAAAGTCAAAACTCTTCTCTCTAGCAAAGTACGAATACAAGAAGAACTCAAGAGATAGATATAGGTAACAAGCTAATACCTGTGAAGCAACCTTCATTATGAATATCGGCGAGCCAGGGACCTCACCTTGAACTTGTTTGAATAGAGCCTTAACCTCATCACCATTATGAACCTAAGAAATGAAGCCAGAATATAGTACACCTTAGTAACAGTTCAAAGGCGTATATATCTACACAAAGCTAACCTTCCTAATGCCTTTACCGCCACCGCCCCAAGAAGCTTTGATCATCGCCGGATAACCTACAACTTGACAACTAGCAACCGCTTCTTCAGTTGTGTAGACACAAGCTTGCCTATAGATCTCCTCAGGGATCGTCGCCAAGCTGCTACCAGGAGGAACTTTAACCTGAAACACACATGAAAAAAATTCATCATTCTTCAAACAGGTCAACAATTCTCTAGTAGTAATTAAACAAGTTTTTACTTACATGTGAACCACTCCACGGCAGAGTAGGTACATTAGCAGCTTGTGCAATCAATGAAGAACCAATCTTATCCCCTAATGCTACCATTGAAGCTGAAGTAGGACCAAGAAATATGATTCCTTTTGACTTTAATGCATCAGGTAACTCAGGGTTCTCAGATGCATGACCCCAACCGGGCCAAACTGCATCCACACGCGTTGCCTCAGCCATCTACACATAATATACCAACAAAGACTAATGAAGAATAACTCCAAAAGAGCATAAGTTTGTGCATTAGAGTAGCTCCCAAGAAGTTGCATTCACCTCTACAATAAGCTGAACATTAGCATAATTGTTATTGTTTGTTCCTCCTGGAACCTCCACAAACTGATCCGCGATTCTAATGTGCTCCGAAATGATATGCATGTCTTCAGGAGTTGCCATCCCAACCAATGATATAGCTTTTTCTGAGCCAAATGTTTTGTAAGACCATGTTCTTACACTTGTTATAAACTTCACAGCTGCCATTCCATTTGTAGCGACCAAGATTCTATGGATTGGCCTTTTCCCTCCATGAGCTTTGCAGAACTCATCGACTTCAGACACCGTTACAGGACTTTGATGACCGTTAATGGAACCAGGAACTGTAACTTTTGCTTGAGATTCAGATGTATCTGTAAAACAAGCCATAAGTAGACACAGTGGATCATTTTACAAGGAAAATAGTCATGAATGTTTTGCGTAGTTCATATGAAGCAAAATGCAAATCATAAGCAAAAAGGTAGAAAACAAACCATTATCCCAAAACACGGTTGAATCAGGGCTGCTCGGGTCGTTCCTTCCTAAGAAAGCCAGAGGGCGAAACAGTTTGTTCCGAGACAAAACATTTCTTCTGCTTTTGTTTCTGTAAAGCGAAACTCCTTTAAATGTTCTCACAGTACTTCCCAGCAGCTTCAGTGTGGTTGGAAAATCTCTGGCAATGGTATTACTTGCACCACAACCAACTGCTCTGATACATGGAGAAACATTCTTGAAGCTAATCGGATCAGAACCTCCATTTCCGGCAGAACACGAAACCAGAGCTCTCATTTCCATTGCTACAAAACTTCGTAATCAAGCCACACTGTGCCTGAGATCTGTAATAGTGTATAAACGCTTTTACTGGGCTTAATTACATAAATAAATTGGGCCAGTCAACATTTATAATAGTCGCCATATAAAGATGTAGAAATATCTACGTTTTTAGAATATATAACCTGGATTCCCGGAAATTAAGGAAATATAAATTTTGGTTTGATTTGATTTGAATGTTAACTACATGTTTAATGTGTCAATTTGATTACCTATCATATATACATTTCACATTCAGTGAGGAACATTTGCAGAATGTCTCTAAAAAATTAAGGTGAAGGTCAGTTTGTTAACTCTTAAAACATATGGTAACTATCTGTTACAACAGAAGCCGTAAATGCCTACGTATCACATCGTTTGGGCCCAAATAAATTAACCCATTTGAATGATTAATGGGCTTACAATGAGATGAACAGTGAATAAAAAAAACCCAACCTGACTAGAGGAGAAACCCTAAAAGAAGAAAAAAGAGGGAAAAATGGAGGAGCGGCGATAGAGTGTCGTCGTCATCGGTTGAGATGGATAGAGAGAAGCTGAAATCGGTTCTCTCTCATCTACTTGCCGATCCGATTCTCGCCGACGTTCCGAGGAATCCAACTCTTTCGGATGTCGTCACTCTCGTCAGCCTTGAAAAGGGAAGCGCTATGCGTCTCTCCATCGTCAAGCTCGATGGCTCTTCACTTGGTATGCTCACAGGGTCATTCTGTCGAACAGGTGGCGTGCATTGTAGAAATTTCATGGGTTTCTTGTTTCCTTACTTTGATTTGCTCCCCTTGGCAGATGTGGCGGTCATGAATTCAGCTACTTTGAAGGATCTGAAGCTTTTGATCAAGAAGAAAGTTAACGAAATGGAGCAAGCAAGCATGGGTCATCGTCACATTTCTTGGTAATAGCTTCTCCACCATTCCTTTTTTTCCGAATTGGAGAAAACCTGTTGATGTAAGATCCATGTTTGGGAATATGCAGGAAGCATGTATGGTCAAACTTCTGCCTTTCGAGCAATGGTGAGAAGTTGCTTGACGACGACGCTCTTCTTCAGGATGTCGGAATCCGGAACAATTCTCAGGTTTACCTCCTCTAATATTATTATCCCATGTTCTTTCAGTATGAGTTCATTGGCGCTGTTGTTGACATTGGCATATATGCGATCTCTCTCTTTAATCTTTGTTTTTTTTGTTATTGAATACAGGTTGCCTTCGTTCCATACGTGATGAAGAAGGGTCCTGGAAGACACGCAAAGAGGAAGAAGCATCGTCTCTTTCGTTCACTCCACAAGACTTCTTGAAGGCTTTTTATCTGATGGTAACCAAAACCAGTCTCTCAGCTTTTCGTTACACCTTTAGATAGCATTGGTAATGATCAACTGATTTGAGACGTTAGGTCTGATATGTGTTTTTTTATTAGTCTGAGAGTCAGTATTCCCGGTGATGAAAGTTTTAGTAATCTGGAACGGTGAGAAAATGGGGCTCCCTCTTGGAAAATTTCCATGGAGGTTTTAGAGGAACCATTGCTGTAGATACTTGGCAACTTCTGAGGGTTTCTTGGCTGCCTTTTCAAATGCAAATTGGTTTTTTTTTCTGTGTGTCGAGATTCTTAGACATTGAATTATAAGTTGTTTTCATTTTCTCATTTTAAATTATTATTATAGCTACTTTTACTACTGTTATTATTTACAATTGGTGGATTCTGATCAGGTTGTGAGGCGACACTGGTGATACAGAATTGTCTTGGAGTATATACTATAGAGCTAATAGATATTTAACCAATTCTGTGAGCAGTTACTTGCGAGCAGTTCTTCGATAGAAAATAGTTATAAATTTCAGGATAGGTTTCAGTGTGCTTAATTTTGTTATTGTAACATCAACATTAGACCACTTAATATTTGTGATATTTATTTATAGCTGTTTCAGTTACTGTAACGTCTTCCTTGCCATGGTGAGTTGCAATAACATTTTCTCGGTTTAAAAATGTTCAAATGTGAATCTTATTTACCAAAATCATTTTTCCGTAAAGTTTACTGTAAAAAAAAAAACTCAAAGTCGGATGTACCAAAATGTTCAAAAGTGAATCTTAACCATCGTTCTTCTGATTTTTATTCATCACCAATTCGTCAAGTTTAGGTACTTCCTTTGCGAAACCACTACTTTTTCTAGCTTTCCATAAACAATTTGTTCTTCCTAGGAAAGAGCCTCACGAACATCTCCAATCAATTTAAAAACTGTCGTATTTTGATTTCATAAATTTAATTGTTACATATTTGTTCAAATATCATTCAACTTTTTTACATAACAAAAATCTCATCTCACCATTATAGTGCCTACACGTTTATACATCCACACGTGAATAACGGACCACTCTTTGAAAATTCTCCATACGTCGAACCATTGGGATGCACCCTAAAAGAAACATTAAGAATCTAGGCCAATCACGTAATTGATGATGGCGAATTCGATTCTTGTAAACAAATAAATTAAAGTTGGTCTCAAAGTCAACACATTAAGAATTGACATCTTGTCTTAAATTGCTTAGGTTTAAACTTTGAGACATAGATGGGCCTACAAATGTCTAGTCTCCGATGCTAAATCATATAATTACAGCCTAAATACAAAAAATAATAGGAATCAAGTGTTTGGGAGAAACCAAAGTGGTGGGAAACTTGCGCACCTCTTACTATATCTTACTTTCTAGCCTTTGAAGAACACTCACGGCACAACTGCCCCCACCCACCATTTCTTTTCTACTTACTTATTTCTCTATTTAAATAAAACACCCTTAATTGTTATTTAATTAGCTATCATAAACTTTTAAACTCAACAGTTCTGTACTTGATCTACGATGAAACAGAGGGAGGATAATTTGAACTTATATTTAAAACCAACAAAAAAAAAAGAAAAAAACACAAACTGTAAGTTATAAAGTTTAGGTAGTCCTGGAACGTTTCGGATTCAAGTCAATAGATTTTCCATTATATAGTTCAAAACTTCAAATGTAGAAAAATAAAAATCCCTATATGAAGTCGAAATTGTAAGTATAATCACTCTTTAGATTTATAGAACTTTGAAAATCTCTTGATGCAAACTCGTCGTCTAACTTAAGTTTACACTCTAATTATGAAACCTAGCAAAACAAATAGACAGACTTTAATCTTTAAATCTCAGCTAAAGGATTTGATCTAAATGCATATCTCACCCATTAAAAAGGTCTTATTATATCAATTGAAAAAGAAAAGTCTAATATGATGATCTACATCATAAACGAACTCTCCAACTCCAATTGAGAATTATGTATTTTTATTTTCCAACAATTTAGAAAGCACTAGAATAGAAATTCGGAAATATATAAAAGTTTGTAAATCAAAAAGGTAAGATAGTGGTATATCAACGACTAAAAAACAATTCGATTTTTAAAAACATTAGATAATAAAAAGTAAAAGGAAAGAGAGATGCAAAAGAGAGGACTTTTGCATGAGTTGGCAACTTCTTTTTGTGTTCTTATTATAAAAGTCCTTAAAGAAAAACTAATTTATTGACAAAAAATAAAATAAAGAAAAAAACTAATTTTAAAATTAAGTGTTGCTCTGTCATCATCACCCTTTCCCCTCCCCTTTGTTTTCTTCCCCGTTTTTTTTTTATTCTCTTTTGACAATCCGCAGCTCCAATCCCATCCTACGGTCTAGATCTCTCCAATCATCATCTTTCTTGTTCCATTCACTTAAAAATAAAAATTTAAGAAAATAAACTTTTCCACGAGAGAATTATTATTTTTGTGATGCCTATTCAACGTACCCCTCCTTTTTTCCCTCTATCATCTTCATCATCTTCTTCTTCTCTCTCTCCATCTCAAGATCAAAACTCTTCTTTCCGTTTCTCTTCATCATCCATGGCTTCAGAGAACAATTCCAAGAAGAGAAAGATCAACGATGACCTCACCGCCACCGTAGACGACGGAGGAGGACTACTAGAATCTCTTCCCGGAGACATTCTCACCGACATATTCTCTCGCCTTCCCATCTCTTCCTTAGCTCGGCTTATATTCGTTTGCAGATCTTGGAGATCCGTTTTGACTCAACATGGTCTTGTCTCTTCCTCTTCGTCTTCCCCCACAAAGCCATGTCTTCTCCTCCACTGCGATTTCCCCATACGCAACGGCCTTCACTTTCTCGACTTATCAGAAGATGAGAAACGCATCAAGACAAAGAAATTCACCTTAAGATTCGCAGCTTCCATGCCGGAGTTCGACGTGGTAGGCTCGTGTAACGGTTTGCTCTGTTTATCTGATTCTCTCTACAACGATTCACTCTACCTCTACAACCCCTTCACCACAAACTCCTTAGAGCTTCCCGAATGTTCCAACAAGTACCATGACCAAGAACTCGTATTCGGCTTCGGATTCCACCAAGCGACAAAGGAATACAAAGTCGTGAAGATAGTTTACTTCAGAGGCAGTAGCAGTAGTTACAGGGGTCGTGGTAGGATCCAGTACAAGCAATCAGAGGTTCAGATCTTAACCTTGTCTTCAAGAACAGATCAATCTTTGTCTTGGAGAAGCCTAGGGAAAGCTCCTTATAAGTTTTTGAAACGTCCGTCGGAGGCTTTGGTCAACGGGAGGTTACATTTTGTGACACGACCTCGTAGGCACGTGCCGGATCGTAAGTTTGTATCATTTGATCTTGAAGATGAAGAGTTTAGAGAGATACCTAAACCGGACTGCGGTGGGCTAAACCGGACCAACCATAGACTAGTGAACCTCAAAGGGTGTCTTTGCGCCGTCGTTTATGGAAACTATGGGAAATTGGATATATGGGTTATGAAGAATTATGGTGTTAAGGAATCTTGGGGAAAGGAGTATAGCATTGGGACTTACGTGCCAAAGGGGCTAAAGCAGAATTCTGACCGACCGATGTGGATTCGGAAGAACGCTGAGAATGGTAAAGTGGTTCGGGTATTGTGTGTGTTAGAGGATGGAGAGATCTTGTTGGAGTATAAGAGTAGGGCTCTTGTAGCATATGATCCAAAAGTGGCTAAATTTAAAGATCTTGTAGTCGATGGTATGCCTAATTGGTTCCACACTGTTGTTCATGTTGGAACATTATCTTGGTTTGATACACCACTTGATTTATGAATTTTTTTTACTCATTTATATAGTCATATATATATATTCCATTTGTACATATTCTTGAGATATCTAGGGTGGTTAATTAAATCCTTTTATTTTCATATGAAATGCTGTATAAGTTTATGTATTGAATCTGTTGCGGCATCTTCTTGCCTCCTTCCAAGTTCTTTGTTTCGTTTATGGTATGATCACTTGGTTATATATGGGCTATGTGTAAATTTTTGGGTAAATGTAAATATAATTTCATAACTTTAGCCGTAATTGTTTCCGGTAATTTATGCATGGAGACATTTGTCCCATTCAGTTTTATCGCTTTTTACTTTTTAGTTTTTAGTTTGTGTCAAATGTCAATTTGTCAACACGGCAAGGCCTTTTACTGCTTTACTTATACTAGAGTCTGGAATCTCGATGTTAACTATAAGAATTTGTTTTACTATAATCGACCACCAAGCAATCCGCGAAAATAATCTCGTAGCATATTCATAGATGGATCTATGGAGTTCATAACAGGAAAAATAAAGGGATGATAAAGAGGCTTTCGCAAATCACACAAATCATATAGAATTCACTAAAAATAAAAACTTGTGTATAACTATATATATATATATATATAGCGATCCTCGATCTAAATATCGAACCCATGTGGAAAGATTCCATATCGTCTGGAAATATAATGATCTATTCATCGTAAGATCTATACATCTTGTTATTGTTATTTTTTTTTTTTTAAAAAGATCGAAACATCTTTATAAAAATTAACTGTAGACTTAATTAGCAGTTTTCGTGATGTTGGAATTATTAAGTTGTTGTATATGATGGCGAACGTAATTGGATCTATATCAACTTACAATTGTGAACGACCAAAAATAATTGTTGGATGATATGTAGTTGATTTGTATTAATACCGTTTGGTTCTTTTTTCGTGATTTGATTTGATTCATCTGAAAAACATGAGGTAGACTGGTTATTTATGTAAGAAACTTGTTGTAGTAACATAGTGCATGTTCACTAATCAATTTGGGATACACAGTATGGTCATGTGTAACAGCATTTACTGCCTGACCAAGTCAGAATTTACCCTAAAAAAGTAGCATATGATTGTGAAAAGGCATTTGTCTATTGCATGCATGATTTCAAAGTACAGAGATATATATAGCAAAGACTGTTAGATATGGTTCAAAACATGTTAGGTTACAATCAGTGTCCTCATAAATGCTGATCAGATATTTCGCTATATGCCTATTTCGAACCACATGATTATGAAAAAAAAAAAAAAAGAGAGAGTTCAATACTATATATATATATCGTTTGATTGCATTTTATGTCTTTGTTGAATTTTGATATTTCGTTTAGACTACAAAAACGACGTAGTAGTATTTCCATCAGAAGCCGTTGTTGTCTTAAAACCGGGTAATATCATGAATTCAATTTGCAATGCTTAAAAGAATCGGTAATTCATATAGTAGTAACAACTAATTATCCGTATAATCCGTGAGGTAAAATAAAAATTAATTATAATGTGGAGGAGAGACATTAAAGATTTTGTCTTTGTCGTGGCTCGAGGCTCGTCTCCTGTGCGCGTGGAAGAATAGCAATTATGCTTTTCGGAATTCTCGTTAGTGACCCTCACGATCTCTCTCTCTCTCTTTCTCTCTCTTTTTCTCTCTCCTATAACTCGGATCACCACATGACTCCATCTCCTTGCCGTTAACAGAACCAAAATCCCTAAAATTTTCCCCAACCCCTCATTTTGGTGTTGTCGTCTTCGATTAGATCCCCGAAAAAGGCATTCAAAGGCTTGAGGGGGGGGGGGGGGCGAGAGAGAGTTTTTGGCTGATTGATGTCTTTGGTATCTGGAGCTGTATCGGGTTCCAGGGACATGGGGTTCGACGACAAGAACAAGGAAGGAGACGATGATAACACCTCCCGACCGGTTTCCTCTCACCATCACGAAGACGAGGCTGTTGGATCCTTGGGGAGACAGATGAGCGAGTCCTCTCTCTGCGCTACCGAGGAGGAAGAAGACGACGATTCCAAATTACAATTGGGCCCTCAGTACACTATCAAGGAGCATCTCGAGAAGGATAAGGTTCCTCCTCTCTCTCTTCTTTTCCTCTTCCTCTCCTCCATTTTTCTTCTTCTTAGGAATTCGGAATGATTTTTGTTTAGGATGACGAGAGCCTGAGGAAGTGGAAGGAACAGCTCCTTGGAAGTGTTGATGTCACCAACATTGGAGGTCTGTGTAGCTTTTTCCTTCATTCCATTCCAAATATTTCTAATTCGTTTCTTCGAAAAATGGGACATTTGGAAATGATTACATTAAGACTCGTGTTTAGATCATAGCTGATTGTTTCCTGTCTCCGTGACTCATGTTTGATAATTGGATCAGACTGGATCTGGTTGGTTTGTGTTACCTTCAAAACGAACAAAAAACTTGGATTTCACTATCTATGTTTAATGTCCTTGCATGATTATACATTGATTTTTGGTATACACATCAAGTTAGATTCCATAAATGTTTGTTTTTTACATTTTCTTCAGAGACTCTTGACCCTGAAGTGAGGATCCTTAGCCTCGCGATCTTATCCCCAGGGAGACCCGATATTGTTCTCATGGTTCCGGAGAATGGAAATCCAAAGGGAATGTGGTTTACTTTGAAAGAAGGGAGCAAGTACAGCTTGAAATTCACATTTCAGGTTAACAACAACATTGTCTCTGGTCTTAGGTACACCAATACAGTTTGGAAGACCGGTGTTAAAGGTGAAAAACAACACACATGTTTTGTGTCTTTAATCTCCATGGATGGTTTAGAGACAATGTGATGATGATCCAATGCCTTTTTTTTTGTACTACTTTTATCTTTGTTTGGATTCAGTGGACAGAGGAAAGGAAATGCTTGGAACATTTAGTCCTCAGCTAGAGCCATACAACCACGTGATGCCTGAAGAGACCACTCCTTCCGGCATGTTTGCTCGAGGATCATACTCTGCAAGAACTAAGGTCGGTTGGTTTAAGACCTCCAGAATCTAACTCTGTAATATTCTTTGGTGTTGGTTTTTTAAACTACTACTTTTTTTTTGCCAAATCTCGTTTCAGTTTCTTGATGATGATAATAAGTGCTACTTGGAGATCAACTACAGCTTCGACATCCGTAAAGAATGGCCTGCGGTTTGAAACTCAAGAACACTATGTTTCTCCTGAGATGTGTCGTCAGTAGAAGTTGTGTTTGTTTCATTCCCTATCTCGTTTTTTCGTTGAACATATTATTGTGAATCGTTTTCTGATCATCCTAGAACAAAGAACGACATTTACTTCCTTCATCTTCGATCTTGATTTTTGTCCAGTTATGCCGTTTGAAATCAGTATGTCTGTGTTTGTTCTTAAGTACGTTTCTCCTTCTCCTTAATGTGTCTTATGATATGATTGTATCAGATCCTGAGATGTATAATGATGATTGTCTCAGTCAAACCTCAAAGAGATGAAAGTTTACTAAAAAAAAGGTTTGGCTTGACATAAAATGCATCGTCTTTATTCATTTATAGTAGCTTTGAAGAGAAGATAAGGAATATTTTACTTTAAAAAATATATAAATGGCCTTGAAAAATAAATATAAAGATGACCCAAAAGCTTTCATTCAACCCGTTTTTGTTTAAAAAACTGGATTTTAAACGTGATCACCGTTCAACATAAAACTCCAAAATTGAATCGACGTCCTCTTGATAGTTGATACAGCGTCCCTCTCATATGGTTGTGTACATTTATCTGATTTTTATTAGTTTTTTATTGGTTGAAAGTAGATAGTGGTACACATTCATATATTTTGAATTTCTGTTCTTCTTTTCACTTCAAACTTCTTGAACTTTCGACTGATGATGATGCGTCGTTTTTTTTTTACTACGAGTGGCATAAAATATTTGTTTTGAGAAGAACACTTCACTAAAAAGCAAAAGAAGAAGTGAATTTGGATCTGTGAAAACATGAAGATCACAATTGGTTTTGTATATCAAAAAGAGGGGCAAACAAAGCAAAAGCAAAGTTACACCTCTTGGAAAGTGATGAAGAAACTTGACATTTACCGTCTCTCAGAAAATGGATCTTGGTCTCTTGTTTTGCTCTCAAAATTAAAATCCTATTTTATATACTTTAAAAGAAGATTTTTAAAAAACCATCAAGAGGGGTAAATAAATGGATCATTCGACTCCCTCCTTGTACACTTTTTTTTTTTGGCTCATCTTCTCCCAACAGTTTTTTGTTTTGTTTATGTGTTCTTACCACTTTCTTTAAGAGAGTTGAGTCTCCGAAGTCTCTGGTCAAGTTCTGCCAGCACCGCCGGTTCCTGCTTCTTCCTCTGCTTAGATATGGTGTTTGTAGTCATGGATCCGATTTTCTCAAACGCCACCTGAGAAAAACGACGATTGATATTACGGATGATGTGAATCTTGAACATCATATATAAACACTGTTTTTTTCTTTTCTTTCGAATTAGGATATATGACTTACCGTTAATAACTCATCCGGGTCAAAAAGCTGGTGTGAGGTGGTCTGTAATATGTTGATCACATCACCGACCTGGTGCGTCATAAGCAGCTCGTTCTCTTTCATCTGCAAATAAAGGAGAGATCCGTGAAAAATGAGACTAATCTCAAGGGAGTGAAAAGTGGCTGATCAAAAGGAAGACAAAGTATTAACCTTGAATATTGCTAAAGCTGCATGGAAAAGAACCTTTGCTCCTTCATAGAAAAGTACATCCCAAACTCGTAGCGTTGTCTGCAAACAGAACACCTCTGTATACTTAAGAAAGGTAAATTTAAAAAAGACCAAGAATTCAAACATATAGTGTTTGTGTGTTTTTTGGAAGAACCTCGGAAGGAAAGCTTTTCGAGAAGAGGCATAGAAACCACTCGGTGGCTACAAGGGAAACATCAAAGCCCATATCGTCAAGATGAGTAGCTATTCTGCAAAAAACGTAAAATGTTTTTCTTTCTAGTGAGTGGTTTTCGTGATCAAAACATCATTAGACAATTCGAGAAACTAGTGAAGCTCAGCGACGCAAGAACCAAGACAAGACATACCGAGGACACTTTTGGGCAAGCAAGTCTTTGAAAACCCGCTGCTCAACATGGCACCCAGACAAGTTGGTTGTGTAGCAGTCACGAACTAATACGTTTTCCAAAAGCACTGCGAGCATCCAGAACGCGTCTTCTTCCGTCTTCATCACAAGCAACAGTAACGCTGCAACGTAGTTAAGTCCCTGCAAACAAACAAAAAAACGGCATTGATTTAAGATTTCTAAGATGAAAAAAAACTCATATGGAGATGGGAAAAAGGATAAGTGTGTACCTGACAATAGCCAACATCAGAATCGCGAAAGGAATACCCAACAAGCACACGTCTTAGAGCAGCATGACCCTCTGGAGTGTCCAACCATGGATGCCCTGGGAAAGTCCGTGGCAGATCCTGCAAGAGTAGAGACACGTTGTCAAAGGGCAAACGATGACAAGATCCGAGGAGGCTGCACTATAGTGACTGAGAAACACAATGTCAAGATCAGAGGGATGTAATGAACTATTCATAACACATATTAACTTCTATCTATGACATGATGCAAAAAGGGAAAGGCTTTGATAGGATTTTCAGAATCAGGCTCACAAGAATGAACAATAAGATCTACACTACGCCAAAAGACCAAATCAATCCTAACACAAAAGGATCAGCGAAAATCAAATCATACGAATTACCTTAAAACACTAAGAGTTCTGTGAAGAACAAAAAAACCCAATCAAACCTTTAAAATCAACAGATCAGGCAAGGACTTGTAAACACGAACAGGAAAAATGAAATTCATCACTCTCCCTGGAAGAACAAAAAGTGAGACTTTGGATGAGATAAAAACTCACATGATCGATCTGCCGCGTTGCCGGCGTGACCTTACCGTCGACGGCTTTGCTCAAATCACTGTAATAACTATCCGGCACGGTGGACTTCTTCTTGGCGGCACCGGAAAGAGAAAACCAGACCTTAGGCCTCAGAACCGGCGGGATCCCTTTCCGAATCAGCCTCTTCAAAGTAATCGCATTCGTCAAGGTCGAGATCTTCAGAGATGTCTTCAAGGCGATTCCGTCGCCGATCAAGAGAATATCCGGCTGAAGATACCAATTAGCTCCCTTGCTAGCTTCGAGAGCCCACCAGACTCTCCCCTGGTTCCTCACTTTCTCCCTGACTTCGTTCAACACATTCACGTCGTCGACATTTCCTTCCACCGTGAACCCGTACAGGTCCTGGAATTTCACGACGATGTTGGCTCGTCTCGCGTGGATGCTCGGACGGAGAATCGGAATCTGAGACTGCAGCTCCATCGTTAAATCCCGTCTGCTCTGGATCCCAAACATCCTCGGAATCTCTTGTGACTTTTTGTCTGAATTCCAACTCTTCTCCAGATTTTATGCTCGCTTCTCGGATATTTCGTCAATTTCAGACCAAGCACGAGCACGGAAACATTTACACCGTCAAATAAAAATTTCTTGAGGCTGCTACATATAGAAATAAAGGAAAAAAAAAATGAAGTCTCTTTCTTGAATTATTAAAAAAAAAAAGTAAATCTTATCAAAAATTGCAACCTTTCAATATTTTAATGTCGTCACGTTCTGCAAACGCTATCGCCTTGAAGCTCTCCTATCTTCCTTCTAATCTTCTCCTCTACGCAGTCAAATAAATTCGAATTTTAAGTAAATTAAAAATCCAGAGACAGAAAAAAGAAGCTAAGAATTGATTTTTTGTTTTTGTTTTCGTTTGTTTCTCTATCTCACTTTCTTCTCTCGTGACGAACAATGAAACTAAAAATGGAAAAAAAGAGAATAAAAACACCCCCTAAATAAATAGTTTTTATTTAAAGAAAAGGGAAATTCTTAACTGAAAGAAATGAAAAATCCAGAGGAGCGTTGAATTGAATCCCGCGTCTCTCGGTGTCGAAAGGTGATGATTCAGAAAAAAGTTGGAGGAGGAGAGAGATAGATGTACGAAAGGGAGAGATTATCTCGAGATAGAGTTGGGGTTAAATCGTGAGCCTCGAATTTTTATGGAGTTATTTTGTAATTTAGTGAAAGAAAATAATTTTGGAGGGACTACTAGATTATATTAGTAGAAGGGGACAAATGAGCTGGGTTTAAGTTTTGATTTTGTATCATTTTGTTATGGTAAGATTAAGATTATGATTTTCTCCTCTTTTTGGTGAAAGACTAATTGGCCCCTGAACGTTGTCTCTCATCTCTATTGGAACTTTCCTTTCTGAGGACTTTGTGCGAAATTTAAAAAAATAATAATAAATTTTGGATTATCCAGATTTGAATTTAGAAATATAAAACATTTCATGCCTGATCTTAAATTGAAAATATCTGATTTAAAGTTAATTGGTAATAGACGCAATAAACAATGTATATACAGTACATTCTTTTCCTTTTCATTCATATTCTTTTTTATGTGTCACCAGTTAGAACTTATATATACGTTCTCATTTACAGTTACATTATCCACTCAAATATTTTGAATTTTTTGATCTTACATATGTATTCACACTCTCGGCTATTTATTAATTTTACTATATATCGGTTTCCTATTAACCAAGTCCACAAAAAACTATTCATTGACGAGACATTATATTATATACATACACATAAACGTACATTACTTTATCGGGGACTAATGATGATGACTATCCAAGATTCAAATTTTAATTTTAGAGCCGTGCATGCGTTTCAAAACTTTGAAACTTAAGACGGCTAAAACGTGCTGCAGTGCCATATACTCTATGTATATTGAATACAACTAAGGTGTTATGATAACGACACGTACATTTTTTAAGATATAATTTAATATTAGATTATTGATCATATTCTCTCATCGAGGGGAAAAATATGGTATCCCATATTTGATTTTATTGATCAGATTTGCTTTTAAGATACGTGAGTCCACGACTCCACTAACCTTCATAACTTTGCGTTTCAAAGTCTAACCGTTATTAAACACTCCAAATTCGTTCTGACACTATAATATAGTATGTATTTTTTTTTTTTTTTGTAAATCAAACCATCTGAATGAAATGCAAAATCAAACCATCTGAATGAAATGCAAAATCAAACCATACGTACGCAGGGGCGGACCCATATAGAGAAGGGAGGTCACCTGACCTAGGGTAAATATTATATTTTAAAATTTTAAGCTAAATCAATCGAAGAAAAGTGGTTGAGTTGGTTTATTTTCTATGTTTGAACTCCCTAAACCTGAGTTCGAGTGTGTCTCAATGCTTTTATATTAGAGTTTTTTGTTTTATTTTATAACAACAATATAATTAAATAATATTAAATTAGTTTCTGACCTAGGTAAAAAAAAATTCTGGGACCGCCACTGTACGTACGTACCAAAAAACTCTATGAGACATCTACGAAGAATCTTTATCTCCAGCTCGATCTGAACTTTAAATCTAATATGACATGATCCTCTCTCTGTAATTTGAGAGCTTATGCCTTATGTAAGTTTGTAAACGACTTCTTAGAATTAGCAGTTTTCCACTGGATCACACGCAAGCTCACCATTGGGCCTATTACAACCTTTTTATCGGCCCAAACCATGAACACACATTAATTCGGGTTGTTTCCTTTGGTTAGCTGCCACATCCGAAATCAAATCATTGAACCAAGAAGCAATTTCACACCTAATCAAATAACATGCTTCTTTCTAAACATTTTGGTGCATCCCTAATTTACTTAAGTCAATTGATGATATATTTAAAAGTTGCGTGTGTTGTTGGGTGCACTTCTCCACTGGATCACACGCAAGCTCACTATTGGGCCTATTACAACCTTTTTTATCGGCCCAAATCATCAAAACACATTAATCCGGTTTGTTTCCTCTGGTCAGCTACCAAACCAGAAATCAAATCATTGAACCAAGAACCAATTTCACAACTAAAATAACATGTTTCTTTCTAAACATGTTGTTGGTCCATAATTTATTTAAGTCAATTGATACATTTAAAAGTTGCGTGTGTTGTTGGGTGCATTTTTTTAAAAAAATTGACCCATTAATCCACCAAAAGTACAGATATTCTCTCCAACTAATTTCGATTATTGAACTATAATACCACCAATTTTTAAATAACAAGAGAATCTTCTTGGAAACTAAACTGCACCAGAAGAATACAGTTTTGTAAGAAGATGTGCCCCAAAGATTGATCCATCTCTGTTCCCGCCGTAACTAATTTCCTCACAAAGCTCTGCTATATGTTTTGAAAGGAAATCATCTGCTTAAAGTTGTGATGGGAGTTTGGAAAAAGAAAAGCAGCCACAAGAACAAAGTTTGCTACATTTCAGTCCCAGCTCAGATCATAAACTCAGTTTCCTCATCGTCTCTACGCACGTTTCTCGATGATAAATCTTCAAAGAAGAACACAAGCAGGTTCTTCAATCTCAGATTCCACTTCCTCAGGAACCCAAAGCTCTTTGCTTTCTCTCTCTTTTCACTTTCTGTCATAGGGCTTTTATTAAGACTTGGCTTTTGTGGACACCCATATCACGAAAGTCAACTTCAGAGCTCGGACTCAAACGTGTCTCCTAAATCCCATCTGGGCACCCGATCAAACAGTACTCAAGCCGAGATTCCTAATGCCAAGGATCCATCTTTAGCAGTGGGTGTGGAGAAAAACGAGACATTTGGTGCTGACTCAAAGCTGATCACCTCTGATGGAGATGGACGTGATTGGGATGACGAGAATGAGTTCTGGAAACAGCCTGATGGATTAGGCTACAAGCCATGCTTGGAGTTCACCACTGAGTACAGGAGAGAGAGTAAGAAGATTGCCAGAGAGAGGAGAAAGTATCTGATGGTGGTCGTCTCCGGCGGGATGAATCAGCAGAAGAATCAGATTGTGGACGCAACTGTGATTGCGAGGATTCTAGGTGCTGTTCTTGTCGTCCCAATATTGCAAGTCAATCTCATTTGGGGTGACGAGAGGTATAAATAGAACAACAACAACAATCTGATAATGTATCACAAGAATGATCATTTCCATCATTCTGAATGTTTTTTTTTTGTTTGGTTTGGCAGTGAATTCTCAGATATATTTGATTTAGAGCGATTCAAGAGTGTTTTAGCAAATGATGTGAAGATAGTTTCGATGCTGCCTGCAAGTAAACTAATGACTAGACCATCAGAAGATGGTGGTATGCCCTTCAATGCATCCCCACAATGGATCCGTTCGCACTATCTAAAGCGAGTAAGATCATTCAACATCTTTTGATCCATTTCATAAATGGTTTTCATTCTCCTCAACGGTCTTTGTTGTTTCCTGCAGTTCAATAAGGAAGGAGTTCTGCTTTTGAGGAGACTGGATTCACGATTGTCTAAAGACTTACCCTCTGATCTCCAGAAGCTCCGTTGTAAAGTATGATTCTGACAAGGAAACAAAAAGTGTAGTTTTCATTTTTCCGGTCCCAATTAAACAAAGAGAAGTGTGTTTTCAGGTAGCATTTGAAGCGCTGAAGTTCTCGCCAAGGGTTATGGAGATTGGGAAAAAGCTTGCAGAGAGGATGAGGAGCAAAGGGCCATACATTGCGCTTCATCTTCGAATGGAGAAAGATGTGTGGGTGAGAACAGGCTGCCTTTCCGGTTTGAGCTCAAAGTATGATGAGATTGCAAAAACAGAAAGGATTAAGAGGCCTGAGCTCTTAACAGCCAAATCTAGCATGACATCTAACGAGAGGAAACTCGCCGGTCTCTGTCCATTAAATGCCAAGGAAGTCACAAGGTTACATGATGACAGTGTCTAAGGCTTTTCATGTGTTAAAGAGAGACGCCGGTTTTCAATTTCTTTCCTTGTGTGTGTTTCAGGCTGCTTAGAGCACTTGGAGCACCGAGAGATGCCAGGATCTATTGGGCTGGAGGGGAGCCTCTCGGCGGCAAAGAAGCTTTGAAACCGTTGACAAGTGAATTCCCACATCTTTACAACAAGCACGATATTGCGTTGCCACTTGAACTCAAACCTTTCGCAAAACGAGCTTCGATAATGGCAGCCATCGACTATATAGTGTGTAAAGAGAGTGATGTGTTTATGGCATCACATGGAGGGAATATGGGCCATGCGATTCAGGTACTACACATTCTCAAGGCTTCCTATTGTTGTTTCAAATTCTACGTTTGCGTTTACACATTCTTATGGTCACAGGGTCACAGGGCTTATGAAGGACACAAGAAGCTTATAACACCGAACAAAAGGCACATGCTCCCATACTTTTTGAACACATCAATGACAGAAACAGAGTTTGATAAGATGATAAGGAAATTACACAGGCAATCTCTCGGACAGCCAGAATTAAGGATTAGTAAAGCCGGAAGAGATGTTACAAAGTATCCTGTTCCTGAGTGTATGTGCAATAATCAATCTACTTCCACTATTTAAAGCTTCTTCTTTTTTTGGGTGCACATATGGTGGTTTTAAGACAAATAATATGCTCTTTCTACTCCACTTTCTATGCTCTTATTTTGAAAATAAACTCCTTGTAACATGATCTTTTCATTAGCAAGAATATCTTAGGCAAAAAAGAATACGAAGCTGTTACTGATCAAAACCCAACAGATGATGATTCGCATAGCGGCAGGAACTCATGAGACGATTCATCCAATACTTTATTAAACAAAAAGGTCAAATGTCATTCAAAAAAAGAAACAAATCTTTCACCAGGAAACTTTGCAAAGGCACAAACTTGGAGCTTCTAGAGCTAAACCAATGTATGGGAATCAGTAAGATTTTCCACAGTGTATCAAACTGCCCGCACCTAGAAAAAGCCCGAAAACTGCTGCACTGCCGAGGGTTGTTTGCCCTATGAATCTAACCTTCATAAGCCCAGGTACCTGCAAGGAACAACTGATCATCAAGCAGTGATCCAATAGCAATCCCACATTGTTTAATATTGACAAAAACATCTATTGAGATTTTTTCAAAATTGTTTACGCTTAGTGACAAGAGCCATTCCTAATCTAGTAACTCAAAGCGCCAAGACTTGGAATTTATCAAAACTCTCAAGCTCACAAATAACACAGCAAGAGCAATCATAACTAACAATAGCTTAAAGTTCTCTAAACTGGTGACAGTGACATAGATGCGTAAGTCAATCAGTTAATGCTCAAAGTGAAGGCAAACATAAGACTTGAGATGGTGCAGCGTGTCTTAGATTGCACAAGCCATATCATCCAAGAGTGAGTATGTTTGTCAACAAGAAAAATCCTCAGTCTTGTTTGCATTTTCTCATCACAATGTCAGAAAAAACTGAAAGGGTTTCGTTTCACAAAAAAAAAACTCGAATTTTGCAAGATTCGATAGAAAACTAATCAGAAATCCCGTACCTTGAATCTAACCGCCTCGTAAGTTCCATAGACAGCACCTGAAAACACAAGACTTTGTCAACAAAGTAGAAATCTATCAATCTCAATACCCAAACTCGAGTACAAAATAATACCCCCAAATTCCTAAAAACCGGATAATTCTTGAGAGACATTTAAAGGCGATGTATCGATAAAATTAAGAAATAGGGATTTGGGTCTTTTTCCAGAGTAGATATAGAAATCGAAGGGAGAGAAAGTTTACCTACAGCACCGCCTACTGCGCCGCCGATTGCAACTCCGGCAACGATTCTGGTCAAACAACTCTCTTTCGCCATTTTGAAACAGTAGTTAAAGGTTTGTAGATTTTCAGACAATTTTCTCTGTGGGTAAATAATATGATTTTCCGGTTGCCCTCGCTGCTTTTAAGGGTTTAGGCTTTCAAGCTTTTTGCTTGCACAATGGATCGGTTTTGCCTTTGGCAACAAGGACAGGACAAACTCACACCGACCTCATCCTAAACCGATTCGAACCAAATTAGTTAAATCATTGGTTAACATCTTCACCCACATCACTACTCGGGGGGATCTGACTCAACCGGCATTAAATGTTTCTCAGTGAAATTAAATTTGCAATTTTGGAGAAACTATATACATTTACTTGCAAAATTTCTTAAGCGTAAGTGTAAGTTTTGCATTAAAATGGGACGTTTGATATAAGTGTTATCTTATTAGCATAAATAAAGAAATAAATATTTTTTTTATCAAAAAAAGAATTAAAGATTTATTTAGCAGACCAAAAACTAAAAAACAAGACAAGTTTGAAGTATCTGACGCAGTAAAAGAAGAAGAAGAAAAGCATCATCACATGTCACGATTCCATAAAATGCTCTTTAGTTACTCTTTTTAGTAATTAAATTCTCTTCACATTAAGTCTTCCTCTTTTTAACAAGCGCAACGTACCCACGTTTGATCTGTGCCACAGATCGTCCTGATCCACACTGCCAAAACAAAATCCCATTTTTTTTTATCAGGCAAAGATATAAAGGATCACATCAAGATGATGCATTAAAAGTGCAAGGTAAGAGAATGATTTTTTTTTACCTTTTCACATCTCAGAAAGAAGAGACGATTCTCCTTTGAAAGAAGTGTGTCTGGGCTCTTGCAACCAAGGCAAATGACGTATTCATCTGAAAACAACACAAGGATGATGATGATGATACTCCAAATTTGATAGTAAGATTTTACAGCAGTCAAAATATTGAGTTGAGTTACTTACTGACATATCGCCGCAAAATCCCTTCAAAGATCTTTGGCGCAAATCTCGCCTTTACGACCAACCTTTGCTGCCCATCAAGTGAACCACACGTACCCAACTCTGAAAGCAAGTAACTCATTACATGATCTGGTTGTCGATGCATCCTGCAAAACAAAAACGATAAAGCCATGTCATATACAAACACCAAATAAAATAAAAACAAGTTTCCAAGATCATAGGGGAGTTTTTGTTCATCGTACGTCTTGCAAAGGTCCATAAAGTTGACGAAAACTGTCTTCTTTGTCCCCTCACGAAGAACTTGAGGAGGCCTCATAACCGTACGACGTCTGTTTCCAGCAAGCTCCGGATTGTTTTCACGTAGAGTGTTAGAGATCCTATCAAGAATCTGCCCAACATATATAACTCTAATCAGAAAACGAAAAGGAAAGAGAATCCTCCAAACCAAAGCAATACAGTATAAATGTAAACTACACTGTTTTAGTAACCAAAAAGAGCTATTACGATATATGTTCACCTCCTCATATTGGTAATCTCTATCACTTCCCTCCCAGGGATAACGTTTCTGCTGCAGAATTACTCCATCCCGCTCTTCCTCATCATTACCATGCTCTGCATGCAAGATATTGTACGTAAGATTGAAATTGGGATACCAAGAAAAAAAAAGAAACTGCACTAAGATACTATTAATCAGCACAAAAGAAAAATATAGAGTTTCAAACCACACCATCCAAAGCTTCAACACTTTCGTCATTCAGTGAGCTAGATTCAACGCTTACTGGCTTCTTCTTAACCTCCATTCCAGTAAGTGTACTTTCAAGACCATCATCGTTAACTGATGAAAAATCAATCAGACAAAAGCATTTTTAGTAACAAAAATTAGCATTGAAGACAAATAAAGTTCTTCCACAGAACATATATAGAGTTTTCTTCACTGGACCTGGCATTGGATCAGCTTTCTCCATCTGTGCTTCTGTTGCGCTCTCCGCAAGATCCTTAAGAACAACTTTCTTCTTCTTTTTCTTCTTGGTTGGGTCAAAGGGTGCAAGCTGATGTAAAGACACAATCCGTAACCATCATGTAATTAGTGAACGATGAAAATAATTTTGGCCCTAACAAAAATTTAAGACAAGAGAAAAGAAAAACTTACTTCTTGCTGCACATCAATAATTTCATCAGCCATGATTACTGCCAAAGAAAAGCATTAAAATAAAATAAATCAAATATTGTAATCACAACAGGATCGGGTATATGAACATGATCAGCCCCGATAACATAAAAAAGCATACAAACAAAATATTGGCATCGAAGTACTTTTGAATTAAGAGACGATCAAGACGTAACTTGAGTTTGTAAAATACTAGACATAATCTAAAATAGTTAGGGTTAAATTACGACTAGTACTATAGGGTTAAATCTAAAACATTAGAACGGAAACGCAATCTCGTTATATATGTCAGACCTCAACGATTCAAATCTTCAAAAAGGACTTACCGCAGAAGGGATGCAAATATGCAATACACGAACACGACGCAGAGCAATCCAAGAGCAATTAAAAGACGGTGAAGCTTTCTATTTTTTTTTGTTGTTGTTAATTGCGTTGCGCAGCCCTATTTTTTTTTATATAGCATACGTACCTATTCTACAACTAATTCCTTTTTCTTATAGGAGATTTTTAATTCTTTTAAAAAAAAATCATCTATCACACGGAGTCCCCTAAATAAAAGGAAAGTTTAAAAAACAAAAAAACAAAAAATGTAATTGAAAGAGAAAAGAGAAAAGGAGACTTGGAGGCGGCGAAGGGAGATGAAACATCGGCGGCGAAGAAGAGAGCTCACGAGGATTTGGATTCTCTCAGTATTTGCTGAGACTGAGGAGATTCTATGTGTGAATTGAGATGGTTCCTCCAGTAATTTATAAGTATCGGCGAAGGAGAGATCCAAGGGTCCTAAGGGACGATGATGGTTCGTTGATGAGGAATCCTCCTCGGGTCTCGCCTTCCCATTCTATCGACAGACCCAACTCCGATTTTATCGAGGTACGGGATGTGAATCCTTTATTGAGCGAGGATGGTGATAGAATTCGAGATTTGGGTTGCGTTGAGGATGAGACTGAAACTAGACGTGGTTCCGGTAATTTGGTTCTTCACTGTGATGGTGATTGCCTCGACAAGGACAAATGCAGCAGTTTCGTTTCATGTAGCAATTTGGATGATTTATTCTCTGGGTTCGTTTATAGAGGTGTGAGGAAGACAAGGAGTCGACTTGGAAGTTAAAACAATAAGTAATCTTGTTAATGATACTGTTTTTGGATCTCACAGTGAATCTCAGAATCAGGTGAGAAGCGTTTCTCCATACTTCCAGGGATCCACTGTTTCACAACAGCACAGAGAGGGGTGCGATTCTGATAGTGAAAGTGGAAGAAGTTACAGGAAAGAAAGCAGGAAACTTGAAGCTAAGGTTTCACCATACTTTCAGGGATCAACTGCTTCAGAGCAGCCTGACCCGCCAAGGAATCTGCGTCAGTATTTTAAGGTCGTGAAAGTATCAAGATATTTCCATCATGTAAATGAAACACTAGAGGAGAGATCATCAGGAAGGGTGAGGAAAACTCCTCTTGTGAGCCATTTCACTCTCCCAATGTCAGAAGACCAATGAGGCATACCTGCGGAAAACGCCGGATAACTCATGGGTGCCTCCACGATCTCCATGTAATCTGCTTCAAGAAGACCATTGGCATGATCCATGGCGGGTGCTGGTTATATGTATGCTTCTCAACAAAACATCTGGTGCACAGGTTTGTGCTCGTTCCTCTCGTTTTTTTCCCATATCTTTGCTGAACTTTTATAGTTTAAGAGCATTTGAGAATTAGGTGGGTTTGTTTAGTGTTGCCATATAGTACATGTAAATCATTCTTAAGAGAAGTCCAAATGTTGCTAGGAAGTATAATATGTGCAGTCTTTGGTTTGATGAGAGAGTTTTGTTCATGATGCTTCTTGGAAAATTATTCACAGGTATGCAGCGGATGCGTATGGGATGTTTTGTAATGGGAAGTGGGACTGTGTGAGACCTGATGATCATATGCTAAACCATTACTGGGAGTTCCTCAGGATTCGATATATGTTATACTGTGCTGATTATATATTTCTTTGCTCTGTTTTTTTGTTGTCACCAATGTTGAAAAGTTGTAAATGAAAGAGATCATGTCTTATGGCTTGTTTAATTTAAAATGCAATGTGTTTTGGTATCATCTATGGGTTTGTTGAATTTAATATTGTCAAGCACCTAAAGCTGGGGCATGAAAATTGAGGGTCAAAAAGCTATGCGGCTTACTCAAATATTAATAAATAAAAACAAAATAGAATCAAGTTCGTTGAGAAGATGAGGCAATCAGGCAACTAACTACGAGTATAAGCCAAATCAAAGGACATGTCTCCAAACGTAAGTAATATTTTAATATTTTGTACCAGAAAATGGAAAAACACGAAGAACATATTCTTTCTTTTTTGGTCGTATGTATTCCTTATACCACCAAGTTCCAACACAAAACTATATAATGCGGAGAAAATCCGAAAATATCAAAATTGATACTATATTAATTTGTGCTTCTAAATAAAGAGAGATACTTGTAAGGTTGTTTGCTAAAATTAATAGTATTGATTTTGCTTAAACTACCGTTGTTGGAAATAGAAGGGAAGTAAATAAAAATGTTGTAATAATTGTTTTTGTGACGTGTCACATTCCACAAAAATTGAAAAATCCCCCTTGGTGTTGTTTCTCCTCTCATCTCATCTCTGGCCGACAAATAAAACAAGAATTTACACCTAATCATAGCTTCTCCATCTCTTTGTCTGAAGGATGATGCAATTTCTCAGACCATTTTTCCTCCAAATTCTTTCGTAATTTTGTTGCTTTTATCTTCGTTTAGGTTTTTCCCTCCTCGGTTAGTTATAGCAAATATAATTGTTCTCCGTCTCTACCAAAATAAAAAAAAAAAATTCAACTGATCTCCAGAGTTCTTAGGTCCTTCCAAGAAATTGAATTTTGAAAGGAGGCCTTGATGGGTTTGGATTTCTATATTCTCCCCTTGTTCACGGTATTCTCGATGTTTTCATTGTTGCAAATTGTTTTGTCCCTTTTTGATTCAGATTCTCGTTGTTTAAATAATGCAATGGCTCTTCAGGGGATGTCGTGATTTTGGGAAATATCTTTTTTTCTCTGAACATTCGCGTGTTCTCCTTGTCTCGGCTTTCTAGTTCGAAAATGTCTCTTGGCCAAGAAAATGTCGATCCTGTCGAAGTTTCAGGTATCCAACAAAATCCTCTAATTCTTCCCCTGAATTCACATTTACAAGGCTTTCTATGAAAACCTATTTTTAAAGGGTTTCAAAATGTTGGCTTTTGTTTGTTAGGGTCGCATGCTTGCTTATCTGACCTTTTATGTTTAGAGACACCTAAAGGGGCTCCTCAAAAGGATTTGCCGACAATTTCTTCTGGTAATGTTAAAATGATGGAGATGATTTGCTGCAACATTATGCTAGTGTTAGTTGGAGACAATCTCATGTCCTGTTTTTGACATTTTCAGACCCGCGAGATCGGTTGGAGAAGTTGCTGAAGGAACCTGGGAATAAGTTTTGTGCTGACTGTGGATCCCCCGAACCGAAATGGGTGTAAGTTGATTGATAGATATATCTGTGTCGTGTGTGCACTTGTACATTTCTCTGGATGTATTGATTCACTTCCTTTTGATGTTGTTTAGATCCTTAAGCCTCGGTGTGTTTATCTGCATAAAGTGTTCCGGTGTACACAGAAGTCTTGGAGTTCATATATCAAAGGTACTTTCTTTCTCATCTAACAATCTGACTTTCTCTGCTTTTTTTTTTAATGCTTTAGAGTCTTTTAATCGATTCTTGATTCTCCGTTACTCACAGGTTCTATCAGTAAAGCTAGATGAGTGGACAGATGATCAAGTTGACACGCTCGTAGGGTGCGGTGGAAACACTGCAGTAAACGAGAGATTCGAAGCCTGCAACATCGACCAGTCAAAGAAACCCAAACCAGATTCCAGTAACGAGGAACGCAATGATTTCATCAGGTTACAGTATTTATTTACTCACAGTTTGACAACAGTGTGTCATGTATGTGTAAGCATCTCATTGTTTTAGGTCTTCCAATCTGCAGGAAGAAGTATGAGCTGCACCAGTTTATGGATCCAAAAGATGGTTCCTTGTGCCCTTATCAGCAGCCTAGCAGAATAAACAACTCACCACCGTCTCTATGTTCTGGTAACCACCGTTCTACAAAAAACCGTATTGGTCAGGCGTTTAGGAATAGCTGGGGAAGAAGAGAATCTGATCACAAAGGACCAAAGAAAAGCAATTCCCTGGTAACAACCGACATACATACACATACCTACATGTTTTGGTAAAATAAATCATAAATTATTGTGGGTGTTTTATAGGCAGGTATGGTTGAGTTTGTGGGATTGATTAAGGTTAATGTGGTAAAAGGAACCAATCTTGCGGTTCGAGACGTGATGACCAGCGATCCTTATGTTATCCTTGCTCTTGGCCAACAAGTGAGCTCTCTTCAAAATCTCTCTACATCCATGTGTGATTCAAAACTAAACTACTCATGGAAACTTAATCTTTGTCATCATGTTGTTGAAGTCGGTGAAAACGCGGGTGATAAAGAACAACTTGAATCCAGTGTGGAATGAAACGCTAATGCTTTCGATACCCGAGCAGTTGCCTCCTCTCAAAGTGGTAAGTGCAGATTTTTTTTAACTTATGGGTTGAAAAATAATTAAAAACCGCTACATAGTTGAGGAATCCTATCAGAGATGAGAAAATGGTCGACGAAAGAAGTGGATCTGGTCTCACTTAAAAATGAAAACAGAGTAAAAAACAGAGAGCTTTATGCTTAAAGAGTTAAAACCGAACTCTAACTGATTGTTGTTGTTTAGCGCTAACAAACTCGGTTGAACACACTGTACACGGAGCGATAACCAGACTCTTAACATGTAATATTGCAGCTAGTGTACGACAAGGATACATTCTCGACAGATGATTTCATGGGAGAGGCAGAGATAGACATACAACCATTGGTGAGTGCAGCAAAAGCTTACGAGACATCGAGCATAAAAGAATCGATGCAGCTTGGGAGTTGGGTGGCGAGCAAAGAGAACACGTTGGTGAGTGATGGCATAATCTCACATGAAGAAGGGAAAGTGAAACAAGACATCTCACTTAGGCTTCAAAATGTCGAGAGAGGTGTTCTTGAGATCCAGCTTGAATGTCTTCCTCTCACTCAATGATAAATAATTTCCTTTTTTTATGTTGTTTTTAATTGATACAGAAGAGATGCTACTTTCTTCTTAATCCCCCTCAAACCCTATGTAAAAACCCCATGATTTGATTGATGATTGATAATTCTTCAGAACTAATCCTAGTTTTCTACCTGGAAACCAAAACGTGTTTCAAACAATCATGATCACGACATAAGGTTAACAATAAACAAGCGGCATCAAATTGAAACAAGAGACAACAAGCACATCATCCATCCATCCATATGGCGTCCCAAATAACAAGGAAAGTATTACCAAAAAGAAGAAGACACAGATGAAACTAGCAAGATAACACACACGTTCATCAATCAAACAGTGGTAGCAAGAACCTTAACTACTTCAAATGAAGGGCGTGTAAGCACATGATCAACCCACTCAACTTCGCCCCAAATTTCACAATTTTTGCGCTTCTCAAGCGAAATCACGGCACACCAATACCTCTTGTTTGCGCTGATAAGAAGATAAGGGTTGTAGAAGCTCTCGTCCCAAAAAAACAGCCATCTTTCCACCATAATCAGCCAATCTACTCCCTTTTTTATCACGAGGGAACTTCCATAGTCCTACCAAACCCTCCAACTTTCTCCACTTGCTAACCTCCGTGTCATACCAACGCATCTCTCCCTCATAAACAGTGTACAAAACGTTATCTATCTCACAATACGACTCCGATAAACCTATTGACCATAAAGCAGCCATCTCCGGTGCGACCATGTCCCATCTACCTTCCTGGGAATCGTAAGCAACCACCCTTTTGTCGCGAGTACAAGGCGCTAATTGCGCCACGTGGAACTTTCCGTCAATACATGTGGTTGTGTAGCCATATGCCGAGCTGCAATGGATGGGCAAAGGATCCCAAGTCTGTGTTTCTTTGTCGAACACCTTGACCACTTCCTTAAAAAGAGATTCACCATCTTTGGCGGTTCCTGCTACA